CGTCATTTTGACATTTGCAATTGATAATTTGACAAATGTAAACAAAATAATAAAATTTTCATAATTTCATGCGGATGAAGCCGCACGGGAACAGCTAGTACTAATACGTAAATACACATTTTGTTACGTAAGATGTCAGCGATCGCGTTCAGTATCATGTTTTTTTTTTAATTATAACCACAATTACGACACGCGTGTTAGCCACGCTATTTAACTTAGGGGGTAGATAAATTTTAAAATCATGCGAGAAAGGGACATAAATGCAATTACCAACAAAGTTAGAGTTAAGTTACTTAAATTCCAAGCCAATAGCAAAGACCTTTCTTGTCATTTGACTAATTTCTGTAGACTTTAACGATCTCATACGGCTTATCTTTTAGTGGTAATTAGTTAAGGAGTTTACTGATATTGTAGTGTTCATAAAAACGAGGCTTATATATCTTTTTCAGACAAAATTGTGTTATAGATTTTGATAAAAATGTAACCAACAAATCATATTTTACGGAGCAAAAACTTCACGAAGATCTCAATCTTAAAGTATTGAATATCATTAGAAAATGTCCGGTAAGTATTATTAAATAGAATTTTAGTATTGTTAAGAAGAAAATATATATAAATGTCGCAATCAGAAGAAATCATTTTGAATTCAAGTCATAATTAGAACACGAGCGCCGCCAAGCGACTTTCGTGAGAACTTAGGTTATTTTGAAAATAGGGATGGTTGCGAGAACATTGTTTGAACGATATGAGCTTGGATGATATCCTGACTGAGGAGTATTGTGAATGTATTCCTGGTATCCGAATTTACCCATGGCCGCTCCCACATGGTCTCGAGTAGTAATTCTGATATCGTGCTAGCTCAGGCCAACTAAATTTACTTAGATATTTACAAGGAAATCTCTCTATCAACAAAATAAATACCTAGTATCTAGTTAGTAATATAAAATGAAAACTCTAATGTGTATTTTTCGTTCCGGAGTCCTAATTTTAATCCTTTCCCTTCCCACTCTTTGTTCTAAAGATGGGAAAAGAGTGGGTTTGACGGTAGAGAGACGTAGAAGGGGAAATATCCCCTTTATGTGTGTCTCCGTCAATTAACGGTAGGGTTTCACAATTGCGGATTTTTTTTAAGATTCACTTTGTTTACTTGAATACACCTAAAATGCGGATATTTCGCCTTTTAGGAGAATTCAAGTGGTCGTTCGTTTACCATATAACAAAGAAAATGTAGTTTTTTAACTTTTCAATAGAGATTTTTTTCTCAGGCCGCGTTACAACATAAGTTGCCAACTGTACAGGACAATGAAGATGATAAAAAACTGAGTACTATAGCTACTGAGATAAAAGATAAAAATAAAAAAAGACAAAACGAGGAGAAAAAACAAAATCAAACGAAGAAAAAAAAGAAAAAATCCAAAAGAAGAAACAGCGAATGCGATGAGATTAAATCTAAAAATCCTTTAGAAGAATGGCAAAGACAGAAGAATTTGAATAAGATATATTTCCAATTACCAAATATCGCACCGAAACCAGTTGAAAGTGGAAAATCAAATACTTCGAAAGATAAAATATCTAATAAAAAAATAACAAAAAAACCAACTAGTAATCCAGTAATCGATTTAACAGAATTTGATGACACACTCGAAAGTGTTAACACACCGATAATAACAAAAGTATTCTCGTTAGCAGACGCAAACAAAACGAATCCACAAAATGTGATATCACCGATTTTGTTATCAGAAAAGAATACTTTTAATTCAGATTTAGCGACATTAACTAGGGTGCAAACTGATGTGGGTAGTCCGAATTTACAGCAAGTTAACAAAATGTCTGTCAGTTTGGCTGGCAAACAGATTGTTGTACAGAAATCTGCAGGTAAGGTCATTCAGAGGTCAGTTTTATTAGACGCATATCTATTATACAGGGTGGCCCATAAGTCCTTTGATATGAAAAAAATTTATTAAAATAAAACTAATTACATTATGAATTAAATTTTTATTTACAAAAAAAGCTTAAAAAACGGGAATTATTTTTTGAAAATAACATCTTCTAAATGTAATCCGTTGCGTCACGGCACTCTTGCAAACGACGTCTAAAATTGTCGATGACTGCGCGGCACGTCACTGCTGAAATGCTTGTCATTTCTCTGCGGAATTTTTCTTTTAGGGCCTCAATTGATCGCGGGTTTGTGTCGTATACTTTAGTCTTAAGGTAGTCCCACAAAAAAAAAATCCATCAGGGTTAGATCTGGACTACGTGGAGGCCAGGAAATGTCTCCTTTCTTAGAGATCACTTTGCCAGGAAAAAGTTGACAGATAACGGGCATACCAGTTTTAGAGGTGTAAGAAGTGGCCCCATCCTGTTGAAACCACGTCCTGGCATTAAAGCCTGAAAATGTTTGCAATTCTGGTATGAAAAACTCTTCGATCCTAGCCACATATCGCTCCGATGTAACAGTAACTGCGCGCCCTCTGCCATCCTCAAATAAGTAAGGCCCTAGGATACCATGGGCTGACATAGCGGCCCAAACAGTCACTTTCGGACTATGTAAGGGCTTCTGATGCTTAAGTTTAGGATTGATGGGGCTCCAATAGCGGCAATTTTGTTTACTAACATGCCCGTTAAGATGGAAATGAGCCTCGTCAGAGAACATTATGTTATTGAAGGAAGTAAACCGATTCAACATTTCATTCGCATAATTTTGTCTTTGAATGCCGTCAGTTTCCTTTAATTCTTGAACCAACTGAATTTTGTAAGGGTGCATATGTAAATCTTCAAAATCCGTTGTAACACTGCCTTGTATACGTTTAATGCTCTGGCGCGCTTACGAGTTGACTGTGTCGGATTTTCGCGAATAGACTGTGTCACTGTGTCTATGTTTTG